CATGGTCCAATCTTCTACTGCCATGCTGGCAGTTCCACCCATTCAGTTCCGGTCAGGTGCAGAGGTGTAGAGACAAAGGATGACATTGGATTCTAGAAAGGAATTTTGTTTTGGCTACATAGCATTTTACTCCATACCATCCCCCCTCAAAATTCCCCACAATAGAAACAACGTAGTAGAATAATAGAAAGTGTGGCAGGCCAAAGATCCAAAAAGGAATATGGCTGCAGGCCTGACCCTTGGCTTTATTTAAGTCACTCAACAAATTTGTTTTGTCTTACCTTAAAGTAAAGTACTATTTTCTACATTTTTCTCAATTATAAACACTTGGCAATTTTCACTCGTTCACAACTTGTCTAAGATAAGATAAGTTTGTTCTTGCTTGTAAATAAATAGTGCCATTCTTAATTCTTATTAGTATCAAGCTTAGTTAAACTTGGTTTCATAAAAACATTAACCTGGGGTAGTAGTTTAAAGGTGCTGGGAGCGTATGAATTCTAGTCCTTGTCAAACCTGACTCAACTCCATAGTTATCTGTACCTAGTTTCACTCGCTCACAGTGTTGCCAAACAGTGTGGGAGAATTCCTGAGGGTGAAGGGAGGCTATGGAATGCAAGTAAGCCATCGAGACACATTATCTAATAAGGTCAAGTGATGAAGAATGTTTTGACCGAAGCAGACAGCTTTTCCCCAAGCAAAAGAACTGAACTCAGTTGGTGAACTATGAACAGTGGGTAGCCTGGAGGGGAAAGGGGGAGTTACTTATGTGGGCTTTTTTGGGAAAAACCCCTCTCTCTGGAACATTATCCCCCCGCCCGAGATTAGAATGGCCCCCTCTCTAGCACTCTTCCAGAAGGTGCTGAAGACCTGGTTCTGCCAGTGGGCCTGGGGAACTCAGAGTGGGATGAAGCCCATTCTCATATGAGATGCTGTTGCAGGGGCAGGGGGTGTGGGGGGTCATTCTAATCTTATTATATTATATTAATTTATTTGATTCTTTTTATTAGTTTTATTGTTTTAAATGAGGTTTTATATTCTGTAAGCCACCATTGTGAATAGGTGGCAATAACAAACAAACAAATAAATAATAGAAAGGAAAAAAGAAAGAGATTTTTGAAAGAAAGAAAGAAAGAAAGAAAGAAAGAAAGAAAGAAAGAAAGAAAGAAAGAAAGAAAGAAAGAAAGAAAAGTCTACACTCTTGATTAATCTAAAGAGCTGGGACTTCCTTTTGTTGAATGTACCAAATGGGATGGTTGACATTCCTGCCTTAGGCACGAAGACAGGTGGGTAAACTTGGTATAGTCACTCTTTCTCAGGCCTAGGAGGAAGACAATGGTCAACTACTTCAGAAAAAGTCATGGTTGATTTTAAGGGGTTAAAAAAAGAGGATTGATAAAGCTGTTGTTCTTTCTTCACCCTTTTTCAGCACCATCTTAAAAAAATGGAGGGCAGACGTCTAGACTTTGATTACAAGAAGAAAAGACAAGGCAAAGTCCCAGATGACGAAGTCCGCCAAGCACTAGACAAGTTTGATGAGTCCAAAGAGATTGCTGAATCCAGCATGTTTAATCTGCTGGAGATGGAT